TTATTTCTATTCTTTGTATATCGTATAGTTGTTTTATTATTGCTATGACCGATTGCTGACGCAAATAAAGATTCATTCATTCATTCATTCACTGACTGTGAAGGTTGGAGTTGGAAACCCATGAAAGGCAGGTGAAGAAGACATTCAAATCAAAGAACAGCATCTGTAACCAAAGAAAATGCCGTAAGTTGTGCTAACTGGCCTGAGTAGTTTTCAATAAGCACTTAAACTCCATCATTGTTGGCACCTAACTTCAATGGGGAGGTGGTCCTGCCCATGAGAGAAGGCCCTCTCCATGGTCACCACAAGATGGACATCTGCAAGATGAGGTATAATCAGGAGGACCTCACTTGCAAAGTTATCCACAAAGGTCCAAAAGCCCCTCCCCCCAAATCTGTGTCTTCAGCAGGCACAACTAGTACTTTGCACCCATTTATTTGTTTTGCAGCAGTAATCACTGAGGGTACCATTGTTTATGTTCCTAGCAATATACATAGATGCTGATGATTAATCAGTTTGCTTTGAGCCCTTTGGACAGGATAATCTAGACATTAAAAGAACTTATAAACAAAACAAAAATTAAATTAAATTATTACTTTACCTGAGAATGATGCAATGCCTGCTACAGACCTAATTTAAAGTGAAAATCCTTCTTCTCCACCAAAAGACAGTAGCACTTGCTATCATGCACCTCTTCATTGTATTTCCTCATAAGCCACTTTGACATTCAAGCCCAAGAGGAGCTTTGGCATAGAGAGTGGTTTTTGTCCGAGTTATTATTGTTATGTGAGCACACTAGCAGTTTCACAAATACCACGGCACTGCCAACTACCATGACACATCAAGATATAAGCTCCTATGCAGCAACAATAAAGGAAGTGCTAGCTTAGATGACTTTGAAAGGGGATTAGATAAATTTTCAGAGGCTGGATCTTTCAGCAGCGATGAGCCAAGATGGTTATACACGCCATACATCTTTAATGGCAGCACATGTCTGAATACCAGTTCCCAGGAAGCAACAGTAGGAGTAGGCTATTGCCTTCACACCTTGCTTCTGAGCTTCCTAGAATAATCTGGTTGGCAGGACTAGGTCTAATGCAAGACCAGGACTAGGTCAACATTAGTCTGACTCAGCAAGGCTCTTCTTTTGATTTTATATGTATTTCATTTTAATCAGTTGATCACGAGAAACACGGAGCTGAAAATGCCATCAGTGGTTCGTAGCCCTAGTAATATGTAAGTGTGCAGTGATGTAATGAGAAGAAGCAGACACAATGTGCCAAAACTGACCAAGTAAATTTGACCTCTCACCCCCAATGTGATATGTTGTAGGTGGTATTGAACTAAATAGTTGATCTAGTGCAAGAATTAGCACTAGCATAATGGGATTCCCTGTCCCCCCTATGTAAGTGCCCCATGCCAGCCCCCTAAATCCAGGGTTGGAGGAACCTTTAGAACAGATTCAAGGGGCAAGGGTTAGAAAACATTGCACTGATGGGATGTTCACTTGGTGCTATCTTGAATTCCAAACACTATAGCTTTCTATATTATTTTTGCAGTCGTCTGTCATTGTGCTGTTTTCATTGGTTGGTTCTAAAGGCGGGGGCAGAAAAAGGAGGAGACTAAGGTCTGTAGGCAATGACTTGGGTATTAAGGGAAGGTTGTGTATATAGTTTTAGTCATTTTGGTGATGAGGAGAGGAAAAAGGGGAACTGGGGAAAGGGCAAGAGGAATTAGGTGTGGGTAAAGATGGCATTTGGAAGAATGAGAGAGAATGAGGAAGGAAGAGAATAAGGTAGGAGTGCGTTGGAGAGAGACAGTTTTAGGGTTCTGGTGACAAGGGGAAGAAAGCTGGAGAAGAGGAGGAAATGGAAAGAGGTCATATGGATGTGGACATTTGCAGCGCTGTGGAAGAACATGATGGGGAACTGGGAGAAATAAAGAGTAATTAGTAGCCAGGGAGTGGCTTCCAAGTAGTATTTTTTTCCTCCTAACTTAGGCAGAAATACTGTTGTGAGCATCTGCCTCATTCTAGGCCATCACTTTGCTCTCCACCTCCATCATTTCTCCTTCCTGAGCTTGTCATGGGGCCTTACGTCACCCTCTGCATCAGCGTGTTGTGTAGGGGGGAAAACTGATGAATGTGCATCCTGAGTGCTTTTAAATTGCTCATGTACATTGCATTACATCTATCATGCAGATGTCCTGGAAACAACCTACGTGCAGTGTTTTTGTGTTCCTATTAAAATAACATTGGGACAAGACATCATCTAATTCAGAATCCTTCAGTTTGGATCTCCATATGTTGTTGGACTACTAATCCCTTTTTTTTTTTTTAAGATATTTATTAGAAGTTTAAGAATTACAAAAAAAAAAAAGAAAAAGAGAGAAAACAACAAAAAAATTTAACAAGACAAACATTACATTACAATACATAAAAAGAATAACATAAAAAAACAATACAACAATACAGTAAAAAAGAACAACAACATTAAAAAACATACATCCAGTATTCCATATCTTTACCTTTCATTTACTTGTTTCATCGACCTCCTCACACCTCCCTTTTTGTATTCTAATTCAATTAAGTGTTTCCGCAAATTCTTTCCATCTTTCTCAATTTTTGTTCTATAATTTATCTTAACGGTCTAACCTTACATTTTTCTTTTTGGTCCATTATCAATCAACTTTTACTTAATTCTTTATTACATTTCTGCTAAAACCATATAACTTCATTCCAGCATCCTTCTAACATTCATTAATTTTGCAATGTTTTTGTACTCAGCAAATCCTTTCCATCTTTCACTATATTCTGTCATTAAATTACCTTAATTTATTTTAACCTTATCTTCCCATAAAAAGCCTTAAAACTTAAACTTAAAACTTAATACTTATTTATACATAACTCCTTATATCTTTTCTACTAAAGCCAAATAGTTTCATTCCAACATTTTTCCTAACACTCATTAATTTTACACTAATTCTCAAAATGAATTTTTAAAAACTTTCTTCCAATCTTCATCCATCGTCTCTTCTTCCTGGTCTCGGGTTATGTCAGTCCTTTCTATCCATTCCATACTAATCCCATCATCCATGACCTTTGGCTAGGATGGCTGGGGATGATGAATGTTTAACAATATCTGGGGACCTACGGTTGGAGAACTAAGTGTTCATTTCAGTGGGGCTTGTGGAGGACAACTTTCCACTGGATGGTACCTAAAGTGAATATTTTCTTCATATATTTCTTTCTCAAAGAGTTCCATTCCAAAAAAGGGAACCATGGGGGAACCATGTAAGGACTCCATTTGTTTTTGTTGCTGAAAGCCACATTCATTTTATGTTTCATTCATTATAACCTTGCATCTATCTTGTCTCATTCATTAAAATGCCATGCCTTGGTACTAATAATAATATAATGATTTTTTTACATTTTTGCTACCATTTAAGGTGGTGTTCAGACGAAAGCTCAGAGTCACCTAGTGACCACCATTTTATTTTTTTACAGAATGTGCCATTCTGTGTGGGGAAAAGATGGCCATTATGGACAACTATCATTTCCCCAAAAGAACATGATTGGGACAATCTGGGAAAATGATGACCACTCAGAGTTGAATGTGTGGAAACTCATTCTCCTCAAAAAAATTTGTTACATTTCTTTAAAAACCACTTTTAGTTGTCTTCAAGAATCCTGAGATGTTTTGGGTGAGAAAATACTCTAAATTCAACCTGAATTTTACAATAGGCGAAATCTAGTAACAACCTTGGGGTGTAAGAAGCCTCCCCATGAAATCTGCTACTCTTAACATAAACTTTTTAGCTTCCCTCAAAATTTATCAAATATTTCCCTGGAGAACGAATAACCTGCTTTGCTGCGAATGTTGCTTTAAGCGAGATTTCAGTGCCAACATTTTTACGCCCTGATGGAAAAAAGAAATTGTGGGGGGTGGGGGGAGCTGTGAGAAAAGAAAGAAAATGTTTGCAGTTCACTTCCAGAGTTTCTGCTGTCTAACTGAATTGGCCTGTTGACAACATCATTTAGCAAGTTCTGATGGTATCATAATAAATGTGTATTTATGACAACAGGAGGTGTCACTCAGGGAATAAGAGGGAATGGCACAGAACCTTCAGGAAAAGAGAGAAACAAAGGTTGTGAATATGCAAACAAACACCAAAAAGGGTACAGAGAATGTGTTTTGAAGGAATCATTTAGAGTCCCTCAAAATTCCCAGCCCCCTCTCTCTAACATCAGAGTGGAGTACAAACCACAAACTAAAAAAACATTAAAAGCAAAGAATACACACCAAATAGCTCGTATATATAATAGGGGGGTGGGAGGGTGGGCAGTTACCAAGTTACTCCTACTTAAAGTAGACCCACTGAGATTGATGAAACCAAATTTGTCATGCCCATTAATATCATTGGGTCTTCACTGAGTAATTGTGAGCTGGTCCAGCCATATATATATACATGAAATGCACACAGGATTTTAAACATGGGATATTTAGTGTGCATCATTTGGGTTGATTAAAAAACAAAACTGTTTTGAGCCTCACAGTGGTATCCATGTCGATGATGGGTGGGTTATAAATATGCCTAATAAACTAATAAGCATGTCTGTGCATGTTCTCAAAATAAAATGTGTGAAATACCACCTCCCACACAATGGGAAATAAAGGAAGAAAATTAAATGTCCAAAGGCATTCCACAAAAACCTATTGCTTTGAGGAGAATGAGAGGAAATTACACTCATACACCCCAAAGTGTCGGGGCCTTCGGTTTAATGTTGAAAAAGGCTCTGGTAATTTTATGCTCAAAATGCTTCCAATTCCAAAGGAGAATTCAGGATGACTGACTGGTTTTTTGGCTCCACCCACACACCATTAAATGAGTCCCTTATAAATGTGTGCACGGCCCTACACTTTACACCAATCCCTGCCTCCAAGCAGGATAACTTTCCACCTCATCATCTCCACTGCTCCTACCTCCTCTCTGATCTCACAATGGCGGCGGCTGCTCCACCACGAAGGCAACAGGAACTGTTCACGCTCAGGTTTACCCAGGCTCTTGCCTGTGAATTTGTCGCCACTGTGATCTTCATTTTCATCGTCCTGGGCTCAGCCTTCAAGTGGCCCTTACAGCTGCCCAGTGTCCTCCAGATCTCCATGGCCTTTGGCCTAACCATCGGCACCTTGGTTCAAGCGTTCGGTCATGTCAGCGGCTCACACGTCAACCCAGCAGTGACCATCGCCTACTTTGTAGGGAACCAGATCTCTATTGTCCGCTCGGTGCTCTATGTGGTGTTACAGCTGTTGGGAGCCGTCACTGGTGCAGGAATCATCTACTCCGTGACACCCAAAGACGTCCGCCATACATTAGCCCTCAATGACGTAAGTCCTTCCATTGCCAAAGAAATGACTGATCAACAGAATCTTGCACAAGTAGAATATTTTTTATTTATTTAGAATGTTACCAATTATGATATTAGAGACAGAGATAAAGGGATGGCAAAGTATGATTAATAAATTTTGTAATGGGGATAAGAAACCTAGAATTAATAAAATAAGATGGTATAAACCCCTGAAAACAGGTGGCCTGGGTCTCCCCAACATCAAGTTATATTATATAGCAAATCAGTTGAGATATATCATAGACGGGATAACAGAACAAGGAGAGTTAGAATGGTTCTAGAATGGTACACAGGAAATGAGGGAGACGTTTGTGAATATATATTTTTATCAAACCAAATAGGCAATGGTAGCAGAATATTGAAAATCTCTTATTAAGAAAAATCATTGAGAAATGGGCGAAATATAAAGGAAAATTGATACCAGAAAATTCCCCACTAACACTGGTGGTGAGGCTAGAAGACTTCCCAGTAAACTGCAAAAAAGGAAATTGAAAAAGTAAGCAAAAGAGAAGAAAATACTTAAAATAAAGGAATGGGTGGAGAAAATGAGAAGCAAAGAAAAAATAAGAGAAGCTCTAACAGGAAGTAAAATAACTTGGTTTAACTGAAGCAATGGAGAGGTGGTTAAGGGAAAACAAGAAATGCAAAGAATATATAAAATTTGGGGGGGGGGGGGTGATTATAAAAAAGGGAGATAAAGAAGAAAATATAGTTATTAAAGGGGAAGCTATTGAAATTTATAAAATATTAGTAAAAATGAAGGATCAACAAGATCAATTAAAAGAGGTGTGGGAAAAGGAGACAACAGGGCAGATAAATAGTCAAAGCTGGGGGGAAATATGGGAGAACGCACTTTGAAAATGTTGTCTATAAGATAAAAGAAAATTACTATAGGTTAGTATGGAGATAGTATTTAACACCAATATGATTAAATCAAATAAACAAGGAATATTCAGTGTTATGTTGGAGGGGATGTCAGGAAACTGGGACTTATGTTCACATGTGGTGGGGGTGTAAATATGTACAATTTTTTTGGCAAAGGGTGTTTAAGGAGATAACAGAAATCACTGGGTTAAAGCTGACTGAAAGTCCAGAGGGAGCATTGTTATCGATTTACGATGGGGTGGAAGGTTCACAGGCTATGAAGGACTTGCGCACAAATTTATTGACAGCTGCATGAGTTATTATAGCTAGGAAGTGGAAGGGGCAAAGTGAATATAAAATGGAAGAATGATATAAAGAGGTGCGGTATATAGCTATTAATGGTAAATTAACATGTGCTACTAAGGTAAGACAGGGAATGTGCAGAGGTTATGATATTGAGGAAATCTGGAAGGTATTTGTAGAATTTGTACTTTTAAAACGGAAAGGGGTCAAACCATCACAAGAGATGTTGAAATTTTGGGAGGTTGGATAGTTACAATGGAATGGTTTGGGGTGGTGCACATTTTTATTTTTTATGTTTACTTTGTAAAAAAGAAGAAGAATCTTGCACAATTGACTCCCAGCCTTCCGAATTAGACAGATGAAGGAATGTGAACAAAACCAACAATTCTATATGGGTTGATTCTAGCTAATGTGCATTCCTGGATTACAATATAGAACACTGGCTGCATCAACATTGCACAACAGATTGACACAAGATCTTGTCAAGGGCTTTCATGATGTAGACATTCATCTGCTTGCATGAGAGTCTAAGGGTTCATCCACACTTCCGCTTGTCTCGTGCCTAGAAAGCACTTGTCTAAGCAGTTTCCCCCTTCCCCACTCCTTTCTCAGGAAAACCCATTTTTTAGCTCTAAATCACAGCAAATGTCAATCCGGAGAAAACTCAAGTTCTGGTTTGTTCCAATTGAGTGCTAAACAGTGATTTTCCCCAAGGGAAAGCTGTGGAACAAGAGGAAGCTTGGATAAGCCATAAGAATAGGCTGCTAACTGACAATAGGGTTTTTCTTTAGGTTGGTCACTTTGGGATCCAGTTTTCCCAAATGATTTTTTATTTTTATTTTTGGTCCCATGTGGAGAAAAGTTGATATGTGTGTGTGGTGTTGCAATGGAAAAGGAGGAACATCTGGGTGGAAAGCAGACCAGCAGCAGTACTATCTGCATTCATCTGTGATCCTGTATCCTTGGGAGAGTCACCTGGGCAAAACAGGTTTCTAATCTAGCTTTCCAGCTCCCACAGTAAAACTGAGAAAACTGGCAAAAGAAGGCATTGTACAGGGGAAAGTTATTCATTGGAGAAAGGAAGATTTAGCAGTTAAGGCAGAATTGCTCAGAAGACCCGTCTGACTGTTGCTGTTGTTGTTGGCAGGAGAGACAGATAACACTTACAGAGCTATCATATTTACTATTGGTTTACTCAGAAGTAAATCCATCTGTGTGTTCAATGGGATCTACTCCCAGCTCAGGATAGGACTGCATCCTAAATGTGCAGTCATATATGTGCTTACTCACAAGTAAGTCCCACTGAATTTAATTGGGCTTACTCCTGGTAAGTGTGCCTAGGATTGCAGCAATAGACACCCATTAGAGCAGCCTTCCCCAACTTGGCACCCTCCAGATATTGGACTACAGCTCCCATCATCCCTTTCCATTAGCAATGCTGCCTGGGGCTGATGGGAGTTGGAGTTGAACAACATCTGTAGGGCACCAGGTTGGGGAATATTGTATTAGAGGGAGGCTTGTGAGGACCCAGCCTAGAGTTACAGAGATGCTCCATATTAGAACTTTTTCTTTTCTCTTCACATTCATCTCTTCCATTTTGCCAGCTCACCTATGGCACAAACCCTGGTGAGGCACTGGTGGTGGAAATCATCCTAACCTTCTCGGTTGTCATGTGCATCTTCTCTGCCACTGATAAACGCAGGACGGAGAACAGGGGCAATTCAGCATTGTCTATTGGACTGGCAGTCACCATGGCTCACCTCATCGGGGTAAGCGCCTGAGTTATTATTTTTCCCTAGTTTTGGAAACAGATGAGTTGACGTGTTTCTAGAAGGCAGGGTAAGAAAAGTGACTTCGGCTAGAGTTAAAAATATTTAGAAATGGTTATGTGCTCGTAGCGGAAGCCAGTGGCACTGTGGGTTAAACCACAGAGCCTAGGACTTGCCGATCAGAAGGTCGGTGATTCAAATCCCCGTGACGGGGTGAGCTCCCGTTGCTCGGTCCCTGCTCCTGCCAACCTAGCAGTTCGAAAGCACGTCAAAGTGCAAGTAGATACCGCTGCGGCGGGATGGTAAACGGCATTTCTGTGTGCTGCTCTGGTTTGCCAGAAGCGGCTTAGTCATGCTGGCCACATGACCCGGAAGCTGTACGCCGGCTCCCTCGGCCAGTAAAGCGAGATGAGTGCCACAACCCCAGATTCGGTCACGACTGGACCTAATGGTCAGGGGTCCCTTTACCTTTACCTTTATGTGCTGGTGTGCGTGCACTATTTTTTTAAAAAAAGAAATTAAAGATTTGGAGTGGGGGCCCTGAGGGAATTCCAGTGTTTACTTGACCAGGAGATGCCAAAATGAAGAGAGGGGATCCTCCCTCCAGTGAATAAAAATCTGCAAAAAAACCAAAATAAAACCCACCAACAACAGTAAAACCAGTATAGTTACTCAGGGATGGGAGGCAGGGGCAGAGGAAGGGGGCAGTTAGGGTGGGTCATCCCAGGTGTCACCACTGAGGGGGGTGACAAAATGGTGGGCGGCACTCACCTCAGGGCCTGCAGCGCACCCGAGCCACACATCTCTCCTGGAAGAGACGCGGTGGCTTGGGTGCCCGCAAGCTCCACGCTGCCCCAAACAGTCTGCCCACCACCTTCCCCTCAGCTGTAGGGTGGCTGAGTGGGAGGAGTCAGGCAGACTCAGTTTGCCCCTGCTGGTGCCGCCGCACACGTGCCACCCCAGGCACCGGATCGGCTTGTTCCGCCACTGAATGCACTGCTTCTCTGCTTAATCAACACCTGAGGTGGAAGAGCATCAGTGAGCATGCTCTCTCCTCTGGGCACCATCCATCTTGCTGTACACAAGTGGCAGGGATAATGTATGAATCACAGCCTTCCTGTGTCATGTAGAAAAATCAGGGCTCTACATTGGGTGAGTAACTTACACAAGCAGAAGTGGCTCCCCACTGGAGAGGTTAATCCATGGGTAGGCAAACTAAGGCCCAGGGGCCGGATCCAGCCCAATCACCTTCTCAATCCGGCCCGTGGATGTTCCAGGAATCAGTGTGTTTTTACATGAGTAGAATGTTTCCTTTTATTTAAAATGCATCTCTGGGTTATTTGTGGAGCATAGGAATTCATCTGTTTGTTTTTTTCAAAATATAGTCTGGCCCCCCACAAGGTCTGAGGGACAGTGGACCGGCCCATTGCTGAAAAAGTTTGCTGACCCATAATCCTATCAGTTCATGGAGAAGAGAACAAGGAAGAGATGGGAGAGAATTTCAATTCAGTTCACATGGAAAAGCTAGCCTACCCAATCTGCACTTCCCAAAACAATAAGCAAACTGACACACAACCACCCTTTGAAATTCAAACTTCTCCAAATCTTGAAATGCAAATTTTACATGTTATTCTTTCCATTTTGATTGTGAAATTTGAACGTCAGAGTATTTTAGATTTCTTAGCATCTCTTGGTTTTTTATTTTGGCACACGTCAAAAATGAAACTTCATGAGCTACCAGATACAGCAAAATATTAAGTGCTGTTCCATATCAACTACAAAATACAGTCAAATGTTATATGCTAGGAGTCAAATATTATCCATGTTAAATAACCTTGCATGTCAGTTGTCAATTCCAAAATTCAGTTTCATGTTAATAGATTTTAAAAAATGCTTTTGTACAGCTGTGTACCACCCTAATGTTTTGTGAGAAGGTGGTATTAAAATAATAAAATAAAATACTGTCAAACATCAAAGTTAAAAATAAAATACTGAAAATTCAGATGAAGTGAATATTCAGCATCAAGAATGAAAGAGTAGAATTGGGAGAAAAACAGGTTGCTTTCAGTTCTACAGAGAATAACAAAGAATGTTATCCCTATAGTAAACATTGTTTTCTCTTTTGTTTGATTTTAATGGTGTATCTCTGCATTCATTTGAAAGCTTTCTGAATCATCTACACATAGAGACCCCCTTGGTATTTTGGTTCTGATTCTTAGTTATACTTTAGATTTTGTAATGTTTCTTTTCTGTCTTGATAAATTTTTGATTCGTTATGTATGTTACGTAACTTAAGATAATAAGAGAAAATATTTTTTAAAAAAATCATGCAAAAAGGTTAATTGAGGAGAGTTCATAGATGGCATTGTATGGGAGCACCTGGAGCCTGGATACCCAGATAAAGTCAGCTTGATGGGAGGGGAGAGCTCAGTTGGTAGAGCATGAGACTCTTAATCTGAAGGTTGTGGGTTCAAGCCCCATGAAAGATTCCCAAATTTCAGGGGGGTGGAGTGGTTGATCCTTGTGGTCCCTTCCAACTCTACAATTCAGTGATGGACCGCTTGATGAAGGGATCCTAATTGCTAGAGGGGAAAGAATATATGAAGAAATTGAGAAGAACGGCAAATCTAAACCCATGTCTTTTCTGCCTTTTACAGATTTATTATACTGGCTGCTCACTAAATCCAGCTAGATCCTTTGGACCTGCTGTCATAATGGGAAAATTCAGTGGGGCTCACTGGGTAAGTTTTGTATGATGCACTATCGACTAGACTGCATAATTGATCCTAGAATTGTGGGTCGGCAAGCAGGGCGGCCACATAACGTATCACCCGAAAAGAGGAAATTCAACACCAAAACCCCAAAGAGAACACAGGTTTCTTTTAAATTGTTATTTAAACAGAGATACAGTACATCTAACGGTTGTGGGGAAGACTGTGACTAGGTAACCTGGACAGAAGAGCACTCACTGCCATTTGATAAAGAATCTTTGGTGCAGATTGGACTTCCTAGCCCTATCAATCCAGTGACACAGTGGTTAGAGGGTTGTACTGGGACCTGGGAGAGCAAATCCCCACTCAGCCATGAAGTTCACTAGATGACCTTGGGTCAACCACCAACGAACCTGCCTCAGAAGTTTGTTGTGAGGTAATAATGAGAAGGGGAGAAGCATTCAAGCCGCTTTATAACAAATAAAGACATAACAAATAAATAAATAAAAGTGCATAGAACTGAAATCATGGTTAGAGACCTGCCACAGTTTTCAGGATATGACTCTTACGGTTGCTTTCAAAGCTTAAATATCTCCTTGTTTCCACAGGTCTTCTGGTTAGGACCCATCTTTGGTGCCAGCGTGGCCTCTGTAGTTTACAACTACCTTCTGTACCCTCAGAAACTGAGCATAGGTGAGAGGCTGGCTATTGTTCAAGGGTTCGTTCTTCCAGAAGATGAAGGGAGAAGCACACCCGGAACTAACTCTGAAAGACTCCGGACCTGAGCATGTGGTGGGTTACTTATCATGCCCAAATGATTCCAATGACAGCCACACAATTTGCTACAATGCTGTAGAACTCTGAGAAGTAACATCCAGCCATTGCAAAGGAAACAGTGTGTGAGTCATTTGAGTTTAAACAGTAACCAACTGACATGGTTCTCCACATGCCACAATCACCAACAAACCAATAATAGAGCATGAGTGTCTGGCAAACATTGTTATGCACATTGGGTGTGATGTTTGTGCATGGAAGTATGAATCTTGGCACTGCCTCTAGCCAAAATTCAGGTTTGCCCAGTGCAATGGTTTATAATTGCTATTCCAGGAGGGGCAGGATGCTTAATCTCCTTGGCCCATCAGCCAGAGTTTACTAAGACTTCCCCCGTCAAGCAAGAGGCCCTACCCACTGGGTGTCTGAGTCATGGGTGGCTATACCCCCCCATCTAGTTCTGCCAGCTGCCTTTGACTACCACTACCATTGCTGAGCATTGTCTGAGAAAGGAGAAGCAATTGGCTGTTGCCAGAAGAGCCAAGTGTGGAAAGCTGCATAAATTCATGATAGCACACTTTCCTTTCCTTGACTTCTACCCATTTCCACATTTCAAAAGCCACTCACCAGGTGGTAGCTTCCTGGCAGGTGGTTAACTGTTGCTTACTGAGAGGAAGGGGCAAGGCAGTGGGGAGGTTGGCACACTGCAAACACAGAGCTAGCAGTGCTGGATTGTTTCTGCTGGTGTGTTTTCACCATGCTGACCTCCACCTCACCCCTCTCACTCCCTGTAAACAACAGTTCCCCACCTGCTGGGAAGCAAGTGTAGCAGCTCTGCCCATCAGCTGATGAACTGTTTCTGCCTCAATCCAAGTTTCCCTCTGCCCATTTTATTATTATGAAAGAGAACTCATTTGTTGGAGCAAGATGCCATTTTCATTTATGGGTGGCTGGACTGCTGACAACAGATCCACATATCATTATTTATTTGGTCCCACCTTACAAACATTTGTCAGCAGGGGAGCTGTGTTTTTTCGCCCCTGTTGTGTTGACTGTAGTTCTATAACGTGAAAGGATTGTTGCGGGTGGTTTGCCAAATGCTGTCATTTCTGTAACATTTCTGTAACATTATGAGTTGTTCATTGTCAGTAAATAAGAATTCGGGGAAATAATATATAAAATGTATCAAGAGCAAGAACTTTGGCGCGTTGTGAAGTAAGCATGTAGCACAATAGTTGGGAGGTTCTGAGATGGTAACCTCAATGTCCCAACTTCACTATGGCCAGAGGATGTCCATGTGCTACTTTGCTCCTCCACCCACTGAGGTGGCACAGGCACAATCTGATTCAGGAAAGACAAAACAAAGTACTTATTCATGGAGTGCATAATTAACTTAATTGAATTTGGTCATAATCATTACCCTGCATGGTGGTGTTTTGGTTTTTTTAAGCACTAGACAAATTAATAGAGGTTAGTCCTGTCAGCAGCTACTAGCCAAGACAACAACATTAAATCTCAATGTATAGAGGCGATATGTCTCTGAATTAAGGTTACCAGACGTCCCCGTTTCCCGGAGACAGTCCCTGGATTTACAAATCAGTCCCCATACAAAACCCATTGAAGTTGAAAAGTGTTCCCGGATTCATTGAAAAGAAAATTGGTAACCTTACTCTGAATACAATATGCATTTGGGAACAGGAGGGGAATATAGACTGTGTTCTTTAAAAACCCCTCAGATGACAGTAGGGTATCAAGGCAAAAGTTTGCAAAGCATGGACAGTTTATGGGGAGCTGCCGAACCTTTCGCAATATTTCAGCACAACACTTTTCAGTAACTCCACGAATATTCCGTGAACACTACTCAAAATCATTGATGGGGACAAAGTTGAACCAAAGTATTTAATCAAAGTGATTAAAAATAGATTTGGCCCTAAATATGTCAGAATATTGGAAATAATTTATGATATTGCATCTGGTACAATTCGGATAAATAATACAGATTCACAAAAATGTCAGCTTAGCCGCAGGACAAAACAAGATTGCCCATTATCAACTTCATCATTTGCTTTTATTTTAGAACCTCTGGCAATGAGATATGCCAAATTCTGACAGGAAATGGTGAGACTACATTCTGGGACTTTATGCTGATGGTATTGTTTTATGTACATCAGACCCAGTTTATGCAGGGAAGTTATTTTGTATAGAATTGAAGACCTTTTTCAATAATTCTGGACTTAAGGTAATTTTTCAAAAATCAGAAATAATGTTCTTTCATACTCCCCTGCAACTTTAGGAAAAATTAGCCAAAATATTGCAAATCCCAAAAGCTAGGAAAAGCTTCAGATACTTAGGCATTCAGGTTACCCATAATTTAAACAAAATATATCAGATAAATTATAGCAAAGTAAAGAAAACAATAAATATGGACATATGATGCTGGAACAAAATACAATTTTCTATCATAGACCAACTGGCTGCAACTAAAATAATGCTTGTTCCAAATTATTATTTTTATTTCAAATGTTACCAGTTTGGATCCCACCAGCCCATATGCCCAAATGCTAAAGAAAACTTAACAAATTCATATTTCAAGCAGCCAAACCACACATTAAAAATATTTGCTGTTGGAGGATGAGGACTCCAAAGCTAAGCAGCTATTACAATGCATATTGACTCAGCAACATTGACAGACCTAATGTCTGGCAATAAGGGAAATCAATGGAGCGCCTTAGAGAACTTGGAAATAGAAGGCGTCCCTATGAAAGTAGTATTTTCAAAAATAAATTAATTCCACTCTTTGATTCCACTCTTTGATTACAAGGCAGACAGTCCCCATGACTCCAAGACTGGCTCCAAATTTGTATAGTTAGGATATGTTGCAAATTAGAAACAAAGAACTCATAACACATATATTAATGACTACAAGAACAACTATTGCCAGGACATGGAAATCACTTCAATTATGAACCAACGGTATAAATGCAATTTGGTAAACAGCACGTTTGGAAAAACCCACACAAAAATTAAAAGTAGCAAGAGGCCAAAGGAAACATGACAGTTTTTATGCAGTCTGGTGTGACTTGGTTGATTACATAAATGAAGAGGCATGTGACATAACGGTATAAATAGTGTGCATGAAGTACATATTTTATTTTATTTCTCCCTCCCTCCCCCTTCCTATAAATTCTGGTTGTTTATTGATACAAAATAACTTTTTCTTATGGTCACAAATCTAAGCTATACACATTACTATACATAATTTCATATCTGCAGTAACTGATAATTTTGGTATAAATACTTTGACACAACATTGTCAATTCAGAAACGTTTATCTGAGTATTCATTGCTGTTTTATTTTTATTTCTATGTAATCGTTGCAATGTCATGCGTTCTAATGAAAGCAAAGATATTTCTCAATGCAGCTATGTTGAGCAGTTTAAAGATGAAAATGAATAAAGACTACAGTACACACACACACAAAATCATTGGGTCCAAAGTTATAAATATACAATGAGGGCAGAGGACCTTTGGACTGCCTGGTGTTGTTGGACGGTAACTTCTATCAGTCTTGAACATTGGCCATGCTGGCTGGAGCTGATTCAAGATGTAGTTCAGCAACATCAGGAGTGCTAAAAGTTCCCCATCCCTGATCTAGGGATGCCACGATCATGTCTGAATCTCTTCAAAGCAACTACCAGCCCTGTGTCCATTTTTGCAGATGTCAGAGATTAGTGAAACTGCACCCCGTTTTACAAGGTCTCCATATATCATGCAAAGGCTTGTGATACATGATGCTCACTCACTCTCCTCCTGGAGGAGATAAGGCACAATCAGAGGAGGAGGAGGAGCCAGTGCCAGCCGCAACATGGATGTGCATCACACACCTGCACGAAGAAGAAGAAGAAGAAGAAGAAGAAGAAGAGGAGGAGGAGGAGTTTGGATTTGATATCCCGCTTTATCACTACCCTAAGGAGTCTCAAAGCAGCTAGCAATCTCCTTTCCCTTCCTCCCCCACAACAAACACTCTGTGAGGTGAGTGAGGCTGAGAGGCTTCAGAGAAGTGTGACTAGCCCAAGGCCACCCAGCAGCTGCATGTGGAGGAGCGGAGACGTGAACCCAGTTCACCAGATTACAAGTCCACTTCTCTTAACCACTACACCACACTGGCATGACATCACATACACTACGTCAGGTGTGTGTGTGTGACATCGCACATCCACGTTGCAGCGGTGGGCCATTTGACAGCATCCAGATCAAAGACCACAATTCAGCCAGGCATTTACAACATAGAAGAGGCCATGAAATAAGTACGGAGCCAACCTCTTTCCTCTAAGTCTGCTCATCGAAAGATAATGATGAGATCGTTGCTCCTCAACACCAATCACCGCCCACACATGGTACTTCTATGCTCCCTAAACCCCAGCAGCACTTTACCTTTGCCAATCATTTCAAAACCATGACTCAGTCTCTTTAATGGAGCACAAACTTATTAGAAGGCAGTGCATGTATCATGGTAAGTGGTGCAGTTTTAGCCCGAGGCATTTGCTAAGCCTTCCATATTATTCCGTACTGTTCCAATCAAATCACTAGATTCGGGTTGCAGTCCTAAACTCAATTACCCCAGAGTAAGTCCCATTGTACCGAATGGAATTTATTTCTGGTAAATCACCATAGGGGATTCACACATTACATCCAACACGTGTACCATCTGTGTACCTGTGTACACTAACAGTGGAGCCATACAGTTATGCAGGCATAGGCAAACTCCAGCCCTCCAGATGTTTGGGACTACAATTCCCATCATCCCTAGCTAACAGGACCAGTGGTCAGGGATGATGGGAATTGTAGTCCCAAACATCTGGAGGGCAGGAGTTTGCCTATGCCTGCACTTATGTAAGTAATTCACGGGGAATGATCCATGAGTGTACAATCTGCATAGACAATAGCTGAGATGTACAAATGACAGTTCTTTCGCATAAACACTTTTAGAGTCAAGTCGCACCTATAGTCAGTGTAATAGTAACTTACTTATACTGTATGCTATTATACCCTCCTCATTTGGCCAATACGTCCATTTCGGAAGGAAGCCTTCTTGGACCTGCTTGTTA